GATGGACAGGTTCAGTTGTCTCCGCATCCCTCTAGGTCAGCCTCCCTCCCTGTCAGATCATCCTAGAAGTCTGGTGGATGAAGCCCTCCCGAGTACACTTCGGCCAGGAGTCTCTACAAACAGAAGACTGACCAGTGCGCATGCGCAGCAAGGAATCATGGGAGTTTCATTCTTGGAGCTACCAAGTGAGAAATGGGGGTGGTCAGGCCCACTACACCTTATGTCATTCCACTGAAGGCTGACCTAGAGGGATGCGGAGACAACTGAACCTGTCCATCACTGACAGGTCAGTTCGTACAATTCTCATTTTCTAAAGAAGCTGCCCTATATTGTTTAAAGATAATTTTCTTTTTTGTATGTATTTTTAACCTCCTTGATGTAACATGGACATACCTCTTGGAAATTTGTCTTGTACAGGACAAAGTTTCCAACACAAAGGACACTTGTCAGCCTTGTTTGACTGTGTTCTGCAAGAAAGTGCATATACTTTTATGTGTTCTGCAGGACAGTTTAATACATGTAATAAGCTATGGCCTGTCCTTCAGCCTGTGTCATGTGTTCTGCTGTATGTACTTGATGTGTTATGCAGGACAGTGTATGTACTTTGCCTGTCATTCAGCCTGTTTCATGTGTTCTGCAGGACAGTTGTACTTTGCCTGTCATTCAGCCTGTTTGATGTGTTCTGCAGGACTGTTTGATGTGTTCTGCAGGACAGTTTAATACATGTAATATGTACTATGGCCTGTCCTTCAGCCTGTTTCATGTGTTCTGCTGTATGTACTTGATGTGTTCTGCAGGAGAGTGTATGTACTTTGGCCTGTCCTTCAGCCTGTTTCATGTGTTCTACAGGACAGTGCATGTACTTTGATGTGTTCTGCAGGACAGTGTATGTACTTTTATGTGTTCTGCAGGACAGTGTATGTACTTTGCCTGTCCTTCAGCCTGTTTCATGTGTTCTGCAGGACAGTGTATGTACTTTGGCCTGTCCTTCAGCCTGTTTCATGTGTTCTGCAGGACAGTGTATGTACTTTGGCCTGTCCTTCAGCCGGGTGGGAGCAGACTTCAGGGCACTGATCATCCCACTCTTCCAACAAGCGGCCATGAGGAACTTTGTCAGCACAGTGCAGGAGGC